TGGAGTCCCATTGCTAAGAAACCTGAAAATCATTGGCCCAGATAATTCGTAAAGCCTCTATGGAATTCCAGAACCCAAGAGTGCTAGCGGACGTCAGGTAGCAATCTGACTTTCCAAGATGGAGGCAGTAGTTATTTAGGCAAAATGTACAGATAGTCTAGAAACTCATAACACAAGTTGGGTTTTTTTTTTTTTTTTTTTTGGCCATGCCATATGGATCATGGGATTTTAGTTCTCTGACTAGATAATGTGTAGTCCAAACCCCCGGACTGCCATGGCATCCGGGCACATGTATTGTTGAAAGTGTGTGAAATATCTGAAGACAAAAAAAGAGCATGCAAAAATAAAGTTGGCAGTTGTATTGAAGTTTAGGTATTGTAAGCTGTTGTCCAAATTTTCTGTGATGTTATTTGTTTTTATAATAAATCAGGAAGAAATCATAAGAGAACTGAAAGATCAGAAGTTGCTAATGTATCATACCACTTAATACGTCTGAATATAACTGGTTTCCAGAGAAATCAAAATTTTTTAAATTGGAAATTATACATGCAAAAATATGTAGTGGCCTTCAAAGTAGTTTTTTTAGGAAGAGTAATCTCCAAGTAGAGTACCATTGTTCCACGAACCTGTTGAAATCCCTTTGGAAACTGCTTGCAGTCCTGTACATATTTCTTTGAATATACAGTTAGATACTATACTTCCTGGGTGGCTTTGGTTAAAAAAAAAAAACAGAAGTTTTAAAAAACTTATCCTGTATAATTTGCAGCCTGGCTCTTAGTACTGTAAAACTTCTATTTTTTTCTAATTTAAGCAAATGTTTAGTAAGAATGTTCTTTTAAGAATTTTTATTTTCTGAAAAGCCTTACACAGAACAAGAGAAAGAAGTCTTTAGGGCTACCAATGTGACTATTAATCACTGATCCACACTATTTCAGTGCCTTCTCTATCATGCATGATGGTTCTCAATTTATAATACGTCTTTTCACTTTCCTCCCCCTGCCAAGTCTTTAAGGGTTTTTCCTAAAAGGAGTTTCTGCTTACTATTTCATCAGCAGAATTGCTGGCCAAAGGGGTATATTCTTTAAAGGAGAAATAGGCACATGTTCACACAGATAATAATTGTGTAGTCCTCTATTAAAAAATATTTTGCCTTGGGATTTCTCTGGTGGTCCAGCAGTTAAGAGTCCAAGTTTCTGAAGGGGGCATAAGTTTGATTGCTGGTGTAGGAACTAAGATCCTACGTGACGTATGGTGCTGCTAAAACAATAAATAAAAAATTTTGCCCTTTTCTACATCCATGTCGTTGCAAAGAGTTGGACACGACTTAGCAACTGAACAACAATACACACACACTAATTCCTGACAAGTCAGTTTTTTTTGGAGGCCCTTCTCCCTCTCTGGAGATTCCTTCTCAGACATCCTTGCTCAGTTCTTCTCCTCCTACAATCTTTTCCGGGTAGAAACTGGTCCTAGGACCCCTCAGGGGTACCAAAATCGGAAGATGCTTAAGTCCCTTATTTGCATATAAATAACCCAGGCACATCCAACAGTGGTTAGATCAGAGAGAAAGCAAGGGAATTCCAGAAAAACACCTACTTCTGCTTCACTGACTACTCAAAAGCTTTTGCCTGTGGAAAATTCTTAAACAGGTGGGAATACCAGACCATCTTACCTGTCTCCTGAGAAACTTGTATGCAGGTCAAGAAGCAACACTTAGAACTGGACAGGAAACAACATGACTGGTTCAAAACTGGGGGAAGGAGTATGTCAAGGCTGTATATTGTCATTCTGCTTATTTAACTTATATGCAGAGCACATCATTCAAAATGCTAGGATGGATGAAACACAGGCTGTAATCAAGATTGCTAAGGGAAATATCAACAACCTCGGATATGCAGATGACACCACTCTAATGGCAGAAAGTGAACAGGAATTAAGGAGTCTCTTGATGAGGATGAAAGAGGAGAGTGAAAACCAGGCTTAAAACTCAACTCTGAAAAAACTAAGATCATGGCATACAGTTCCATCACTTCATGGCAAATAGGGAAAAAGTGGAAGCAGTGACAGACTTTATTTTCTTGGGCTCCAAAATCACTGCAGATGGCGACTGCAGGCATGAATATAAAAGCTGCTTGCTCCATGGACGAAAAGCTATGATAAACCTAAACAAAGTATTAAAATGCAGAGACGTCACTTTGCCAACAAAGGTCAATCTAGTCAAAGCTATGGTTTTTTCAGGGGTCATGTATGGATGTGAGAACTGGACCATAAAGGCTGAGCTTGGTGTTTTTTTTTAATTTTTTAATCCCATCTTGATTAAAATGTGTCTATCTAAATGGATCTACTGATATTTGCTTTTAAAAAGCTGTCCTCTATTTATTTAGGGGAAAAACATGAAGCCAGTAACTGAATTATATGTAACAATAAAATTTAAACCTGTGGATCTGGAATTATTCTAAAAAATTAGCCCTCTATCTGGTATCAGAAAATAGTAGCTTTTCTCTTAGTATATAAGGAAATAAGATGCAGAGTAAGAATGTAAGCAGTTGTGATTCGTGACAAGCAGTTGGAGGTAACTAGCTCCTAGGGATAACCATTTGTATCCTATTCCAAAGTCTTATTTTATAGTTTGAAAAGCACTTTGCACACTGTTCTTGTATATACAAGTAAAGATGTAATTACAGGACATAGTGTTACTGCTTTGTTTAAAATCTCATTTAACATTTAAGATTGACAGCTATGGTATTTTTTTTAATGATAATACTTTTCTGTTTCTTTACTGTAAAACTAAGTTAAAAATAAAAGGTTTATGAGGAAAAAAAAAAAAGAATTGATGCTTTTGAACTGTGGTGCTTGCTGGAAAAGACTCTTGAGAGTCCCTTGGACTGCAAGGAGACCAAACCAGTCAATCTTAAAGGAAATCAGTCCTGAATATTCACTGGAAGGATTGATGCTGAAGCTAAAACTCCAATACTTTGGCTACTTGATGCAAAGAGCTGACTCACTGGAAAAGATCCTGATGCTGGGAAAGACTGAAGGCAAAAGAAGAGGGAGGCAGAGCACGAGATGCTTAGATAGCATCACTGACCCAATGAACATGTATTTGAGCAAACTCTCAGAGATAGTGAAGGACATAAAAGCCTGGTGTGCTGCAGTCCACCGGGTTGCCAAGAACTGGACACAACTTAGTGACTGAAAAATAACAATAACAACAATAATGCACATCCTCCCCTATACTTTAAATCATCTCTGGCTTACTTAGAATATCTTATACAATGTAAATGCCATGTAAATAGTTTCTAAGTTGGTGGCAAGTTGAAGTTTTGCTTTTTGGAACTTTCTGGATTTTTTTTCTTTTTACAATATTTTTGAATGGACGTTGGCTGAATCTACAGAAGCAGAACCCATGAATACAAGAGATTGTTGTCTCTTTAATGTTTCACAGTCTCTCAATGTCTTCAATTAATATCTCTACGCTAACAACTCCAGAAAACACAATTAGGTTTAGCTCTCTTCTGGGGTCCACTCTCAAATATCTAAACGCCAGTGGACAGCTCCACTTGGAATTCCACAGCACCTTCAGCACAAACTCAACTCACTCTATGGTCTCTCAAAGTTGCTATCTCAGTATATGGCACCTGTATCTCCTAGTCACCCAAGTAAGAAACCTGGCTATCCTCCCAGACCCTCCCTCACTTCACTTCTTCCCATCCTTACCACCACTGTGACTGTACACCACTCCTACCCAGGAGAACCACAACAGAGGCCTTGCTAAGTGGTTATATCCTGCCCCATCTGACACGCACTTCCTTCGGAAAAACTTCTCCACTTTGATTCAGATAAAGTACAATTCCCTGAACATAGCTTGGCATGCCCCTCAAGATCTGACTCTTGGGGTCTTCTTATGTCTGTGCCCCACAAATTTAGCTCCAGGTTTTCTCTGAGGGCCTCAGAAATTCTACACACTTTAAGGATGACTTTTCTTGGCCCATTCTCCCTAACATCATACTCAGCCTTTCCCCTCCCACTCTCAACCTTCGAAGAGGAAACCTCCAGTTTTGGGGAGCCTACCACATATCCAAGTCAGGATTAAAGGGCCTGGCCAAGTGCTCCCTCAGCCTATACATAGTATTTCTCTCACTGAGTTGTCTGTAATAATTTTCTAATTTGGTTTCCCCACACTTGACTATGAGCTTCCCTGGGTAGACCTGAGCCCAATTTGCCTACCTAAGCCAATAAACAGCTCATGTAGAAGGCAGCAAAATGAATATTCTTGATAAATGAATAATAATGTACAATAAAATACCAGGATAGCAATTTGAAATGTTTGCAGTGACCCCCATCTGCCACAAAACATCTTAATGTATTTTATTACATAAAAGTAATTGATATGTTGAAATACATGCTTTTTTTTAAAATTAGATAGGCTTTTCTTGAGGACACTGGTGGTAACCAAACGTCTGCTGTACTGGGTGAGTAAGTTTAAGATAATGTCAGCTCTTGCCTGGACTACCACAACAGTCTTTCACATCTGCAATAACCTCACTCTCAGCTAGTCTTCTCCACTGAGCAGCCAGTGATCTTTTCAAAACATAAATAGATCTTCCCGACCATCTGCTACAAGGTCCTGCAAGATCTGCAGGCTGTCGCATACCGTCCACTCCCACAACCAACTTCATTATCAGTTTCCTTGCGTGACTAGCTGGCCTTTTTTCCTGCAGTTCCTAGCAACGGCAAAGATTATTCTAGCGTCAGAGGCTTTGCACTTTGATGTCTCTGCCTGCAAAATCCGCCCCCCTCCCCCAACTCAGATCTTGGCATGGTTGAGTCTTCCTCACTCAGACAGCGAGTCAAATATCACTTCCTCAGAGACCCTTTCTAGCTAAAAGAGCCATCACGTCCAAGCTAAGCTCGACCCCATCCTTATCTGATAAATAATTTAGTGTCTGTCAGTCTCTTTGCTAAAGCGAAAGCTCCACGAGGCAAAAGATTACATATACCTTGTTCGCTGTTGTCTCCCGGACGGCAAGGACACTGACCAGCTTAGGATAAATACCTGGTAAGTGAAAAATCGCACTTAATAAACATGGCCATCTCCCACATTTTCCACTCTTTCCCCTTCCATTCGCAGGAATTCTCAAGTGCCGTTGTCTTCGCAGGAAAGCCCTTGAAGCGTCACCACTAAGCCAGTGTCCTTTTCCGCGAGAGGCGAGGCGCGCCCAGCTGGGAGCTAACGGCGCCTCAGGCCCTGGAGCGGAGCCTAGGAGCCGGCGCTCGCGTCCGAAAAGCACCGAGGGCGGCGGGACGAGGAGCGCCTCTTCTCGCTTCCTGGGGACTGAGACCTCCTCAGTTTTAAGCCCTGGAACAGCCTCTCATCGGCCGCACAGCCACTTCCCCCGTCGCCGAGCGTAGAGACCTTTCCCAGTTAGTTGCTGGGGATCTGCCCCAAGCCACGCCGCCTCCGCGTATCCTTTCGAGCAAGCACCGCCCCTTCCGGGCCACCGTAGTTCACCTAAAGTACAAGGCGCTGCCTCCTCCCGCATGCGCAGACGTCCTGTTCGGCGTATAGTGTCTCTTAGCAACCGCCTGGAGTCCCTCCGCCAGGGGCGGAGCGTCGGGAGCCACGACGTGGGGAGGGAGTGAATGTGGCCAATCAGAGGCGACTCCTAGCCTCGCTCGGCACGCCTCCTCTAACTGTCGCGAAAACGCAGGCCGCTTTACGGCAGGCAAAGGGGTGGGGGCCGCTGGGGTAAGGAGGAGAGAAGGCAGCAACCAACCAACCAAGTCGCCCCCACCTCCCACCCCCACCCACCTCAGACCTGGTTTACGGCTCCAGGCTCCGGCTCCAGTGCGGCCGCTGATTGGCTGCTGCGAGCTTGGTCCCATCCCAGTGACCCCAAAGTGCTGGAGGGAGGGGGCGGGGGTGGCCCGGTGCAAAGTGCATCCCGAAAGCCCCCTGCCTGGCGCCCCGGTGGCCGGCACTCCGGGCTCCGTGAGAGCCGGGCCCTCGCCGCCCCGAGCCCTCCCGGGCCCTTCAGTGGCCGGGCGCCCCCGATCAGAAGCGCGGCAGCCCCCTGCCCCGAGCGCTCGGACCGGGGCTGCCCCCCGCCCGCGCCGGTACTTCTTCCCTGCACCCCTGCCCCAGGCCGTCCGGCGGCCACCGCCGCTGCCTCCGCCCGGCCGGGCCGTCTGGATGCTGGCGGGCTGGGGCTGGGAGGCGCCGCGGAGAAGCAGGGACAGCCGGGTCCGGCCCTGCCCGGGCTGTTTCCTCAATGGAGAAGTTGGTGAGTGTGGAGGCGGCTGGAAGAAGGAAGGGAGGCAGCAACTGAGGAGACAGGTAAAAGTCTGTTACCCCTCTGAGGGGAAGGGGCCGGCCCGGGACGGAGGGGAAGCCTGCCGCTTCCTGCCGGCCCGCCCCGCTCTCTGCCCCGGGGCCCCCTCCGCCCCGGCCCCGGGGCTCTGCCCCGCTCACGGGTCTCTGATTTCCAGGTGTGAGCTAGCTGGGGGGCGAGCGACGGCAGGAGAGGGTCTGCCCACCCGCCCGAGCAGCCGCGGAGCTCTGACCAGCTTCCACCGTCAAGGTAACGAGCCTCCCCTCCCCCATTGTTTATTCCTGGCCCCTACCTCATTAATCGGTGCTTTCTTTTCTGGATAGTTACCTGGCAATGCACCCCTTTCTGGCCTCTAGCTTTCCAGCAAAAACAAAAACGCTGCCCGTGCCCCAGTCTTTAACATTTTAATAACTTCTCTTTCCCAGGACCTTATTTTACCCCTTTCCCTCTGAACAGTGTGTTTCCATGTATTGCATTTATCTTTTGGTACACTCCACCATTTACTCTGCTCAGAGACTTTGAGACCTTTTTGTAGCTCCCCCTGCCCCTCTTATTCTCATAGGAATTCCCCAATTCCTTGTTAACTGCTTGTTAATTCTGGATGACTCTGCTTTTTAATTAAACCACAATTTTCTGTTTTCCCCTCTTCTTTGCTATCATCTTTCTTCTACCTCCATCAGAATATCTTTTGAGTTACCTCACAAGAGTTGGTGAAGGAAGGTTCAGTAATAGCTTGAAATTTGTGAGTTTCAGAAAATAATGTGACTTTTTTTTCCTATAGCAAAAAGTGAATTTGTGTACCTTAATAATGTAAATAATGTGAAAGCAATACTCTCCTGAAGCACTTATGTATAATTAGCTCTTTGGACTTTTGTGTGTTACTGTGTGACAGATGTGTAAGGGCTATAAAACTCTTATAAAAAGATCATATTTGCTATATCTCAGATTTTCTAGTACTTATGAAACTTTACGCAATATCTTGTTAATCATCTGCTGCTCAGGAATTTAAAAGCAAAAGAATGTTTTGATATGTTTAGAATATAAGGTTTTATTTTGGCACTTTTCATAAGATTTCTCATTTTGAAACCCTTATAGAGAATTTGTTAGATTGAAATTTAAGCATCTGTGTTTTGTTGCCACCTTAGAAAATGCACTAAAGGTAAGTTTAGGACATTCATGTAAGTCCTAAAGAGGGGATATGAACAGGGAAATCATGTAAGAGTTAATTCAGAAATGAGCCAAGTGAATAACTTCTCTAACATCCAATAACAGGAGTATAAAGTTGCTTGTTAATCTCAGAGTTATTTTAATATCACAGGTTTTTTAGGGAATTTTATGTGCAAAGAAGTGCTTAAAATAGCAAAAGTTGTTAGGAAATCTTTGACTTGTTCTCTTCCTCTGGACTTTCTGCCTTCCGGATAAAAAAATTAGTCTCTTACCTGATTCTTCTAATTGTCAAGGTGCAGCCAAGTGCTTTGAGGGTTTGCGTATTCTTGAGACCTGGAACTGGATACCAAAATGAGAATGTATGCTACTGAATGGGATTTAGAATCAGTATTGACTAATGACTATTCCACAGTGAACATTTAGGGCACCTTTTGTACGTACATGTAGAATGCATGTATGGTCAGCCATGTCCGGCTCATTGCGGCCTGATTGCCTGCAGCCCGCCAGGCTCCTCTGTCCATGAAATTTTCCAAGCAAGAATGCTGGAGTGGATTGTCATTTCCTCCTTGAGGGGATCTTCTCCACCCAGGGATCAAGCCCACATCTCTTGTGTGTCCTGTATTGGCAAGCAGATTCTTCACCAACTGGGAACCTGGGAAGCCCCCTGTACATGTAGGGTTCACTGCATTTCAGTAAAAGCCAGGTAGAAGGCAATTTTCATTATTTAAATATGTGAATCCAGAGAAATGCCTAATGATTACTTTAGACCTTTTAAAAAATTGCTAAAATACTTGAAGCATGTTTTTCAAGTAAAGATGAATTATGTATATTTTCTATTCAGGCCTTCTCAGTTAAATATTTTTCTGCTTTAGATTGAACTCGAGCATGTTTTCATTTCTGAGGGGTTTTATCACCTGTGCTGAGTCAAGTATGTAAGGTAAAGAGAGAACACTACTTTCCTCTCTGTTCATTCTAATTTCTTAACTATTTCATTGATCCTCTCAGCTTTTAGTGGTTCTTCTAAGATTATGGAGTATATATAAATTGTCAACATCTGTTCCTGATATTAGCTTGATTGAGAGTATTTGGTCTAGATAATGCAAACATTTAATGTCAATATTGTGTACCAAAAAAGCCTATTGACTGGTTTATATTCTTCAGTCTGGTAGTTAACTTTGTGTTAATTCTATTGTCAGTCACATGGTTTTGAAAAGAAAAAAAATAAACACCAAGTTTTTTTGGTAACTGAATTAGATTTATGAGCCCATAGGGAGAATCACTGATTTTTTTTTTTTTTAATTGAAGTGATGCATTTTGAGTATGCTGTGGCCAGTACTTATTGTCTTCATACCTAAAGCGATGCCATTCACAATTATATTATGACACATACAAATACCGCTTTATTTTGTTCACATTTAACTTTAATAACACAGAAATATATATGTTGCTAAAAAGTCTGTAAAATCAGGTCATTTGTGTAAGCATATCTAATACCTGACTTTCAACTTTTTCACTTCATCTTCAACAGAAAGTATGCCATACATAGAAGACTTATCTCCTTTCTCATAAACTTAGGTACTGACATGAGGCTGCTAAGATGGTAAGGCCAGACATAGGTTAAAAAGATAAGGTTGACAAGATTTCATCATTTATGATACTTGTGATTTACACTTGGAATTAAGCCGAAGTAAGTGAACTACAAAATTCCTCTGTTGCCTTGTCCACATTTTGTTAGTCTTTCTGTTAGAACTCAGGAAGCTTATGGAAAAGTTGTACATGATAATAAATGCTTGCTATATGGAGGCCCAGTAATTTGGAGGAAATATGAATACCCTCACTTGTTTTGGGACAGAAACACTATGGTGCTCAGCTGAGTGATACTAAAATACACTTCTACTTCATTTTGGGTTCCAGGCTCTTGGTTATATGAGTTGACTTCATCAACATCCATCTCAGCAATGTTGCACGCTTTGGGCATTGTAGTGTTTCTGCATCCATCTTCCCTCTTGGGACTTGTGAGCTATTCATGTTTTTTTGGTTTTTTTTTTTTTCCCCCTTAGAGCCAGTATCCTTGGAGTTACTGATTTTATTTCCTTACAGCCTGTATCTCTGTTTATTCTGCAAAGAAATGCTTATTTCTTTTTTTGAGTAGCAAGCTGTTACCTTGTTTCCAGTTCGTGTGAAATCTGAAAGCACAGTTCTAATTTGTGTCCCTTAATCAAAAAATGTGTGGACTTTCAGTGAAAGTAATATGCAAAAGCTATTAATGACTAATCATTTATGCCAAAGGAAATTGGGGACATGTGGACAAATTTGGTGCAAGTTATGTAATTTAGACAGATCTTAAATATATTTTGCTTTATAGCTATTCTTTATTCCATGAATATAGATTTCTGTTAATCAAATGAAGCAAGAAGCTTTGGTTTTAACTTAATGAGGTTCACTTGACATCTGTATGGAAATTAGATGGCATTTAATTCCTAAATTTGTACTTTCTAATATGGTCAACATTGTGAAAGCTCGGAGGCCTAGATTGTTTTCTTTTTTAAGAAAAGTGTAAAGTAGAAAAGATGAATTCGTAAAATTTAAACACTATTAACACTGGGCAGTAAAATCTTTTATAAAAGTGATATACATTGGGAAGCAGTTCATTTTGATATATGATTCTGAAGTCTTCCTTGTTAGTATGTTTTTTTTTTTTTTTTTCCTTTTCTGACTGAAACCTAGAATGGAATTGCTAAAGATTGCACCCTCAGAGTTTTAGTCATTCTGAGTCAACTTACATTGTACATATGTTTACTTAAAAAAATTACCTTCTTCACCATATTCTTTTATAGGTGACTTCATGAGCTATCAGATTTTCAGACTTGCACTTTTTGAGGGGAAATAGATTTTTTCCGTCTTATCTCTGGACTTCCTCTGTAGTTTTTAATAGGTAACTTTACCACTGAATATTACGTTTACTTTCTAAGTTCAGTAGCCTTTTTCCCTTTACTTACACATACATGGATGGTTATACTCTATTAAATGCAAACTTTCCTAAAATTACACCGCGATGAAATTAAGTTGTTTGATGCTTTGGACTATTAGGATACTTTGGTAATAAGTCTTTGGCGTTCATACTTTAAGTGGACAGGAGTCGTGTGTGCATGGTACGTATGTCTATGTTTTTTTTCCCGTAAAGACTGAAGCACAAAGTGCTTTTTTTGCTTTAAACCTGTGTTTTTTTTTGTTTATAGACCTTGGTATTGTCAGAATAAAGAAAAATGATCTTAACCATTCTACGAATATTTGATTCATTTGAAGTATGTGAAAAACTCTATTGTAAAGTTCTCTCCAGGGATAATACCAGTGGCCAAAGACTCATAGTATGCCAGGCACTATAAGGTACTCAGTATACTTTTGTTTGTCTGATTGGAATAGATGATGTGGGATTATCATGAGTTACTGTTGTTTGTGCATGTTGCTTATAGAGAGGAATAATTGAGTCACTTTGACTTTTAGCACAAAACCTTTCTTGGTATTAGTAATAAATTAATGCCATTTAATATTCTCTTCAACTCCCACCTCACTTGCCACCCCCCACTGTTTCTGCTGCCTTCATGGAAGTGGTAATGGGTGTATGGAAGGCAACAATAACAAAAACAGGGACTCTAAAGGCCCAAGACTGTGAAAAGTCATCTTCACTTTTCTTAGGAGGGCAGGGGTTACCGAGGAAATACTTAGAAGTAAGGCATCCAGTGGTGTTCATTCTTGAAATGGAGGTGTGGATCACATGGAGAATAATGACATGTTCTGTGTGGAAATGCTGCAGGCTCATCACTGATGACATTAGTTTGCATTTTTTATTTTAGTACAATTTTAGATTTGCAGAAAAATGTTGAAGGTGATACAGAATTCCCATGTATTATACACTCATCTTCCCCTAATTAAGATCTTACATTAATAGACACATTTTCACAATTATTGAACCAGTATTGAATAGTTTTGTTAACTAAAATCCATACTCTGTTCAGGTTTCTTTAGCTTTTACCTAATAACTCTTCTCTGTTCTAGGATCCCATCCAGGATATCACATTCCATTTAGCTGTCCTGTCTCTTTAGGCTCCTCTTGACTGTGACAGTTTCTCAGATTTCTCTGTTTCCTTGTTTTTGATGATCTTGACATTTTGAAGAGTTTCAGATATTTTATAGAAAGCCCCTCAGTTGGATTTAGTCTGTTACTTTCCTCACGATTAGACTGGGGCTGTGGGTTTTGGGGAGAAGGAGCACAGAGGTAAATCGCCGTTCTCATCATATCATACTAACAACATGATGTGGCGCTCTTGATACTGACCATAATTACCTAGCTGAGGCACTGCTTTTCAGGTTTCCCACTGAAAAGTTTCTCCCCCCGCTTCATCCTCTTTGAAAGGAAGTCACACTTAAGGAGAAAGGGGAGTTGTGTTCCACCTCCTTAAGGGTAAAGGGAGGGGGTCAATCTACATGCATTATTTGGAATTTTGCACAAGAGATTTATTTCTTCACTCCCTTTTTAATTCAATCAGTTGCTCATTATCAATACAGACTTACTGTTACTTGTGTGTAGTTTGGGTTAGTATCTAATAGTACTTTGATTCTTGTTTGATTTGTTCCACCTTGGCTATTGAGAGCTCTTCTAGTTGGCTCCTGTATCCCCTTGACATATCACACCCCCCGCCATCTTTGCATTTTTCTTGGAGTACTTCCTTCTCTTTTGGCACTGTAAGATGCTCTAGGCTCATCTTCTATATTTCCTGCCCAGTTATATTTCCTGCCCAGTTCCAGCATCAGCCATTTCTGTAAGGATTGTTGTTGTTCTATTGCTAAGTTGTGTCTGTTTGTGACCCCAAGGACTGCAGCACGCCAGGCTCCTCTGTCCTCCACCGTCTCCCAGAGCATGCTCAGATTCATGTCCATTGAGTCGGTGATGTTGTCTAACCATCTCATCCTCTGCCGCCCTCTTTTCCTTTTACCTTCCATCTTTCCCAGCATCAGGGTCTTTTGCAGTGAGTCAGCTCTTTGCATCAGGTGGCCAAAGTATTAGAGCTTCAGCATCAGACCTTCCAATGAATATTCAGGACTGATTTCCTTTAAGATTGACTGGTTTGGTCTCCTTGCAGTCCAAGGGACTCTCAAGAGTCTTCTCCAGCACCACAGTTCTAAAGCATCAGTTCTTCGGTGCTCAGCCTTCTTTATGGTCCAACTCTCACATCCATACATGTTGTTGTTGTTCAGTCTCTGTCGTGTCTGACTCTGCAACCCCCTGGACTTCAACACGCCAGGCTTCCCTGTCCGTCACTATCTCCTCAGCTTTGTAGTTTTTATAGCTTGCTGTGTAGGAGTGCTGATCATACCTAGTTTGTTTATTTGAAAGTGTTAGGCAGTTTTAAGCCAAATATTATTTATTTCCAAGTGCATGTTTGCAGAGTCTTTGGCTTCCTTGAAGAAATTTGACAAGGAAAAATAGATTGTGAAAAGAGGTAAGGGTCAAAATAGTCTGCACTGATTTGGGTTGGTTGAATATTCTGGTCTGCTGCCTGTGACTGCCACTTTTCCTCATAGCTCATCCAGGTGCTGGGCAGTGTGACCTTTCCTAGTTTAAGTGACAGAGGACTTGACACACCCACCCCACTAGAATGGGATGGCAATTCTCCCAGTGAGTAATTCCTGGAGGGTTTCTGGTGTAATGTGTGAAAGTCACTTTGCATGTGTTCTTAACCCTAGTGGAATTCATAGATCTAGGATTTAATGGACGTGAAGAAAGATCCCTTTTCTTTCAGTTGTAGAGAATTTTTTCAGAATTCATATGGGAGAAGCCAGCAAGACTATTGTTAATCTTTGCCTAGTTTGGTGTATGCATAATGGCATAACAGTTTCAGAGTTATTAACATGATGTCTTTTGCATATGAAAAACAGGCATTTAAAGACAACCTCCAAAAAAAATAATAAAGAAAGACAACCTCCTTTTAGTGTCATAGATCCCATTTTGGCCCTGGCTACCTACTGTATTGTATGCACATGTATTTTCATTGTTTAGAAAGAGCAAGAAATTAATGATGTCACTTAAAAAGTAATTCAGTTCTGAAAATATATTCTGAATAGACACCCTAAAAAATTTGTGTTTACTTCCAAATTCCAAGTATGTGATTTATTATTTTCTTTATTTAAAAAAAAACAAACTTCCTTTTAAGAAAAAGAAAAATTTCCCCCAATAAATCATATCCTGTACCACGTTGGAGATTAATGTAGATGTTGAGATAATTTCTTCTAAGAATTCATTTGAGTTCTTTCTTTGCTCTGTAAGTTGTTATAATGTGCTGAAATGTTAGCTCATCAAAAGGTGGATTATTTAGGCAGCTATGGTTCTTTATTATTTTTAGAAAATTTTCCATAATTATTATTTCATTTGTTTTCAGGTTAAGAAAGTTTATTAACACCATAATCTGGAGACACTGGAAACCGCCACTCACAATGCTGTATGTGCACAATGATTATTAGGCAATCCACATATCAGGAAAAGGGGCATTCTTTCATAAGGTAGGTGACTGAGTGACATGGGTTGTCTGTGCTCTTCTAGGGGAAAATCCATTTAGTTTTTATTTCTCATTCAGATTACCTAATGTATACTAAACACAACACTTGCTAAAAGAAAATCTGGGTTTGTTTTGATATTGTTTAAATCTTTTCCCCTGTATAGAATGCCTTGTTTAAGTGCCAAGGTAATCATCCCAGTTTAAAAAAAAAAAAAAAACCGGTAAAAGGGAATGGTTTGAAGAAAAGGGAAGAAGTTCCGGGAAATTCCTTAAAAGGGTTTTTACCTTCCCTTATAATGCTAAAAATAAGCAAAAACTTAGCCCAGAAGGATTCTTGGTTTTAAAATTTCTAAGGCAAGAGACTTAATTTTAATGTCAGTTGAAAAATTAAGTGGAAAGATAAGGGGAAGTCATGTTTCTTAAGAAAACAAATTGTCAGAAAATTTCTCATTTTCCAGTTTTTTTGAGGAAACAGTTCTTTGTAGCAGTGGTCTGATATTTTTAAAATTACTTTACTTTGTAAAGATACTTAGGAGTTTGTATCAATAATAACCATTTTCTGTGTATAAACAAGGTAGGATATTTGATTACACCACTGAGCTAAGTTATGACCTAAGTTACCTTAAGCTGACCTTTGCACCATCTATAGGGATAAGTGTTCCAAGGTAAATTATTATTGGTAACAAGATTGTCCCAAGATGTCTAACCTACATATGAGATCAGAATGTCTTTAAGGGACTTTCACATAATTTTTTTTTTTTAGAAGTGGAAGCTACTCATTAGGAGGTGAGTCTAATCTAGTCCTTAAAGTTAGCCCAGGTGGAATGGCTTCTTAAAATTGTGTTTTAAGTTTCTGTGTGTATTTAAAAACTTAGAAATACACTAAAAAAAGTTTTTGTATATACACATGTAAAATGTAACTTTTCATCAATTCAATTTGAACTTTTCCTATTTGCATGAAGGAAATCTCGTTTTATACTGAGTTTGAGTACACACCTCTTTTGACCTATTAGAAAGTGTAGGAATTCAATATACTACTTTTACTTTTTTCATGTGGTTAATCAACAGATTGTTTAGACTTCTTTTCTTTTAAAATATTTTTTATGATGTTGCTAGTTTGCATATTTGTAGAATAAAACTTCTGGAAAATGGAAATTAGAAAAGTGCCAAAGAAATTTCACAGAAAAGGAGGAGTAGTAAATCATGTTTCCTAAAGTGGAAAGGATAGGTAGAGAAACAGAAATGAAAGGAATGTAAATATAATCTGCACATTTTTTTTCTCGAATTTGCTTAACCCCACCTACTTCCCCTTCCCCTCCCCCCAGCTTTCCACTCTTTGGGGCTAAAAATAAAATATTATTGAAATATTTTGGGAGACCAGCCTAAAGGTCTTTGCCTTTTTTTAAATGTTAAACTGCTTCTCATAGTTGAAGATCTTTAGTCTTCCTAGTCTATGAATTGTCCATTTGATACTCAGTATTTACTGATTGATGTGTGATAGATTTCTTGAATAGTTTATAACTTAAATTTTCCATGTGATTTAGGTAAATGTGAAATCCTAAAACAAGTGCTCCTTTGCTTCCTCTGTTGTATCCATCTTCAGCTGCCCAGCATCACCTTCTCTTTTATGTTGTATTCATTGATATTTGCTTTGAGTTTACAAAAGGCTGTAAGAGGAAATTTCCTGTTTCAGCATTTTAGGACTTTATGCCTTGCTTTCTTTTTGAAATCTTTAATAATCTTAGGGAAATTACTGAAAGTTCTGGTCAAAACAGATACATGTTAATTTGTTATAGTATGAATTGTCATCACTAAGGCTTACATGAGTTAGCAATGGAAAATTCTGGGATATTTAATGAACACACTGTCAGGTGTCAAGTATTCTAAATTTTATGTATTGTGCCTACCCTTCAAGGCTGATCCCTGTGACCTAATGAATCCTTTGTAAAAAAGTGGACTCAGCTAGGATGTTACACCACCATTGTCGGAGGAACCCTGAACTCCAGGAAGAGTTGCAGATTCAAGCTGCAGTGGCTGCCGGGGATGTTCACACAGTGCGGAAGATGTTAGAGCAAGGCTACTCTCCAAATGGCCGGGATGCCAATGGCTGGACCTTGCTTCATTTCTCTGCAGCAAGAGGAAAGGAAAGATGTGTTCGAGTATTTCTAGAGCATGGAGGTGAGTTTACTAGGAGCAAACCTTGTTTCCCCAAGGAGAAGCAAATGAAATTCTGTTTAGTTTAAAGTAATGTGTGCATGTGTATATAATTTCTAATGCTTCTTTTTTCTAATACTCGACTTCTCTCCTTTGTAAAGATGTTATAATTATGCTGAGTTTTGTTTAAAACCAGATTGTCTAAAAAATTGGTTTGTTGAATGTGCCTTTTTTCCCCTTGTAACTCTAGTTTCTATATAGCCAGATTTCCCCAGATTATTACAACTAAAAGCAACCCTTCTTCAGGTTGTCCCCTTGCTTTGTTTCAGAAGCAGAAGTGGCTGTGGTCCCAACAACTAAAAGTTGCTCAAGTTCCCCCTGTTGAGAATTGCTCAAGCAGACAGAGATACCATAGGCCCCTATAAATACCATGGCCTTCATGATACCCTATCTTTTGAATTTATCTCTTCCAAAAGCATTTTTAGATGCTTTTATTACTGTTTTTAGCTCTTGCCTTTTCTAGAATTGCACATAGTTTCTAGGTATCCTACAAGAGTATCTGAGGTCTAATTTTATATATAGTTGGAAGCTACATTTGCCATTTTATGTTTTTGCTTTGAAAAACTGTCCATTCCCATAATTAATAGTAACTAATAATTGTCTTAAACTTACTTTTTTCCCAATTAGATTTCCACTTAATTTATTTTCCTAAAGTGTACAAGATGAACACTTAAACAAGATGAACAACTGTATTTTTTTGTACTCATACTATTTTGTAAATTATGGTGTAAAGCAGCTTAGTTGGAACTCAGGATTCATTATGTACTACTCTAGGGCCTGGATTGCTTATTAACAATCATTTAGTTCCATTTTTATGATGTACTTTGACTAGTCAAACTTGGAAGCTATTTTGAAGTACGGAAAATGTTAGAAGTTGCACAGCTGTCATTAGGGTCTTGTGAATTTTGTGAAGATAGGAATATGAAGGCTGTGAGCGTGGACTAACTGCAGGCCACTGCTAAACTGAGACTAGAAATCATCACTTGTCTGAGTGGCCCTGAAATAAGAATTATGTCCCCGAAATAGCTGGCAGTTGACAGGACCCCGCCATTCGCTGGCCTGGGCCTCCTTTGTGGCTGTCTTCCGCTCCTCCTTGTGGCCCTTGCTCATGCCTCATTTTACCTTGAAACTTGAAAACCTCAGTGCGGAAGGCCATGAAGGAGTACTGTATGAGGAATGTCAGAAGAAAGATCTGGAAAAACTAAGAAGTGGGTATAGAATCAAAATAGTTAAAATTCTGATACTGCTTAGTAAAATGAAGGAACCGAACTCAGATTTTTAAATTCTACCTAGTTGTGTTACTTTCTGCATCTGCCAGCCTTGCTTTTAAAAAACTAATTAAAAAAGAAAGATCAATTACTCATCTTTCACCACAACCAACTTTGAAACATTTCCATTACCCTGAAAAGAAGTCTTGTCCCCAAAAAGAAGTCTTGTACCTATCCCATAGTAATACATACAGGTTTATGTGTGTGTGTTTAGTCACTCAGTTACATCCAACTCATTGTGACCCCATAGACTATAGCCTGCCAGGCTCCTCAGTCCATGGAATTCTTCAGGCAATACTGGAGTGGGTTACCATTTCCTCCTCCAGGGATCTTCCTGGCCTAGGGATCAAGCCCACATCTCTTACTTCTCCTGCATTGGCGGCAGATTCTTTACCACTGTGCCACCTGGGAAGCACATGGAGGTTTAGTTTAGTCTGTTCTTTTCAACTGCTGCTAAGTTGCTTCAGCCGTGTCCAACTCTGTGCTACCCCTTAGACGGCAGCCCACCAGGCTCCCCTGTCTCTGGGTTTCTCCAGGCAAGAACACTGGAGTGGGTTGCCATTTCCTTCTCCATTTCAACTGCTAGGTAGTGTTTATTAGTATGGATATACTATCATTTGTTTAAATCATCCTTTTTTATTTTTTGAGAGAGGCTGAAAGTTTCTCAGTAGGACATTTTATTTGTTGAGAAAGTAACACATGATCCATATACATGATTAACATCTAAAGGAAAGGTGTAATGAACAGACAGTTGAGAGGGAAACGTCTGCCTTTCAGTGCGGATCTCCTCCTCTCCTTCCCAGAAGCACTCTTACTGAATTCTTTTGTGTCCCTGAAGAGAGAGTCCGTGCATCTATGTGTGCATAATTTTCCAACCGCCAACCCCCCACCCGCCTCCCCTTTGGTAAACAGTGGGTCCGCAACCTGAATTTTTTCATAAAACAGTTTCACTAAGTGATAGTTCCCTTGTCACTGATTCCATTGTATGGATGTAATTTCTTTAAACTTACTCCCTTTTGTTGGACATTCTAATTTTTCATTTTCTTCTTCTAGGAACACTATTACAGAGAATGTCCTTGACTAATCTTTTTACATGTGAGTTTATCTCTTGGATAATTCCTAGAAGTGCAATCAAAGGATCATTAGTTTTTTTTTTTTTAATGGGTATTGACAAATTGTCCTCCAAAGAAGGTTGCTAATGGCTCTGTCCCTAGCAGGTGTGAGAGGGCCCGGGCCCCTGCCTTTGCCAGGAGTATATCACTTAGTGGTTTGCTCTTCTGTGTGACTTGCTTGCTTCCCCTGCCCCCCGCAAAAGCGACATGAGGAGCAAAGCCTTGCAGGACTGGGCTGCTTGTGCATCCTTTTCTGATTGCTTGTAGGAGTTGTTTGTATATTCTCTGCTGTTAGTTGTATGTTGCAACAGTCTTCTCCCAGTTGGTAGCTTTTTCACTTTCTTGTTTTGCTTGTTTTTATTGGGCAGAAGTTTACATTTTAAGTAAATTGTGTTTTCTTTTGGCTTATGAGTTGTGCTTTCTGTGTCTTGTACATCATACCACAGGGTCAAATTTTTTTCTAAAAAGTTTCATGATGTTTAGGACCTTAATCTATCCTGAATTGGTTTTGGTGTATCACACAGTTACAATTTCATAGATAAAGGAAGCCTACATCATCCCTTCTTTCTCATGCCAGCATTTATGGTTCCATTAATTCTATTGTCAGGATGTCCCTAGGTGAGTATAGTGTTGTTGTAAATTATTGTTCTCTAAGAAGCTTTAATATCTGGGAGAGCAGATCTCGGCTCTCTGTTCTTTAGGGTTGTCTTGGCTAATGCTTGTTGTTGGTGTCTCAGCTGCTACATTGTATTTGACTCTCTGCTGCCCCATGGACTACAGCCTGCCAGGCTCCTCTGTCCATGGGATTTCCCAGGCAAGAATATGGGAGTGGGTTTTCATTTCCTCCTGCAGGGGATCTTCCCAACCCAGGGATTGAATCCGCATTTCCTGCATTAGCAGGCAGATTCTTTACCACTGAGCCACCTGGGAAGCCCTGGCTAATCTTATCACTTTGATTTCCATATAAAATTTTAAAACAACAGAATTACATATTTTGCAGAAATCCCTCACTTATTCTTGTATAGCACGTTTTACTTCTTCCTTTTTCATGTTTCCTTAGTAGAATAAGAACTTGATGGAGTAGTTTTTAATAGCACATTATGTGTCAATTTGGGAACATAAATAGGAGTGGAGCCCTTCTCCTGCTCTCCGCTTGCCTTGGCCCTGTGTGCTGTTAGACACGCTCTGTATTTCGTCTTGGCCTGGCTTCTGATCTCCAGACCAATACTACCTGTTCAGCATCCCCTCACTCGTGGCTCATAGCACAGCATGAGCTGCTGCTTGACCGTGTTCTTTTGTAGTAAATGGCACCAAAGCCATGCCAGAAACCTAGAAACTGTCCTTCTAAATAGTTGTCAGATCATTTCACTCCCTTTCATTGGAGGCACTGTCCTATCTCTGGGTATGGAGACCTTATTCCTCACCAGAACTCTTAAATGTCTCTTTCATCCCTGCTTCCAGTCAGCACCCTCCTGGCCAGTCTCCAAATGGAGTGATCTCTTAAAAATGACAGTTAAAGTATGTCTTCTTAAAATCCACCAATGGCTTCCCCCTTCTCTCGGGGCAGTTCAGTTCAGTCGCTCAGTCGTGTCCGACTCTTTGCGACCCTGTGAACTGGCGTGCTGCGATTCATGGGGTTGCAGAGTCGGACACGAATGAGCAACTGAACTGAACTGAACTGAAGCGCAGCACGCCAGGCCTCCCTGTCCATCACCAGCTTCCAGAGCTTACTCAAACCCATGTCCATCAAGTCGGTGATGCCATCCAGCCATCTCATCCTCTGTCATCCCCTTCTCCTGCCCCCAATCCCTCCCAGCATCAGGGTCTTTTCCAGTGAGTCAACTCTTCACATGAGGTGGCCAAAGTATTGGAGTTCAGCTTCATCATCAGTCCTTCCAATGAACACCCAGGGCTGATCTCCTTTAGGATGGACTGGTTGGATCTCCTTGCGGTCCAAGGGACTCTCATTGAGAGTCTTCTCCAACACCATAGTTCAAAATCATCAATTTTTTGGCGCTCAGCTTTCTTCACTGTCCAACTCTCACATCCGTACATGACCACTGGAAAAACCATAGCCTTGACTAGACGGACCTTTGTTGGCAAAGTAATGTCTCTGATTTTTAATATGCTATCTAGGTTGGTCATAACTTTCCTTCCAAGGAGTAAGCGTCTTTTAATTTCATGGTTGCAATCGCGATATGCAGTGATTCTGGAGCCAAAAAAATAGTCTGACACTGTTTCCACTGTCTCCCCATCTATTTCCCATGAAGTGATGGGTCCAGATGCCATGATCTTAGTTTTCTGAATGTTGAGCTTTAAGCCAACTTTTTCACTCTCCTCTTTCACTTTCATCAAGAGGCTTTTTAGTTCCTCTTCACTTTCTGCCATAAGGGTGGTATCATCTGCATATATGAGGTTACTGATATTTCTCCTGGCAATCCTGATTCCAGCTTGAGCTTCTTCCAGCCCAGCGTTTCTCATGATGTACTCAGCATATAAGTTAAATAAGCAGGGTGACAATATACAGCCTTGATGTACTCCTTTTCCTATTTGGAACCAGTCTGTTATTCCATGTCCAATTCTA